TCCCTACGAGTTTGATTTTTACCTCTGCAGTCACGCTGGAATACAGGTCAGACCAACCTCTTACTGCCTTTTTCAGTACTATTTAATTACATTCTTCACTAAAATCTGACTGCCTGAAGACCGTGCAGAGCCATGCATTGTTTCAAATACTGTAGACGGTGAACAAGAGAAAAGAGGAAGTTATATCCTCAGGAACTTGAATATTGCCTGTGGAAACATGTAGGCTTTTCTACATTTTCTAGTAAAAGTTTACTAGATCGTGGTGCAATTTCACCAAGCATACTCACGTTTGCACATTTGTGTAGAATGGCAACACATCTGGACAAAGTGGTGCAAACTAAATCAAAAATCAGAAGCCAGGAGTTCCGATTCCTTACTAAAACTTTCATCATTATGATATGTAAGATTCTACAAGTCCCCTCTTGCCTCACTAACCATTTGTTCTAACGTCCTCCCTTATGAAGACTTTGTTGGTCACCAAAGTATGTCTGTGCAGATCCTCAATCATTTCTCATAGGTTTTTTCAGCATCACCAAAGTAGTAGCAATTAGTTACAGTAAAATGGCTATTAAATCTAATAATATAATTGTGACTTCCTTCTTTTCTTCTAGGGCACCAGTCGGCCCTCCCACTACCATGTACTGTGGGATGACAATTGTTTTACCGCGGACGAGTTCCAGCTGCTCACCTACCAATTGTGCCACACCTACGTGCGCTGTACCCGCTCAGTCTCCATCCCTGCGCCAGCCTACTACGCCCACCTGGTGGCCTTCCGTGCCCGCTACCATCTGGTGGACAAAGAACATGACAGGTGAGGAGAGAACAGCTTTTTTGACTCTGGATGTAAAGGTCCTGAACTCTGACGTGTTATACAGCAGTGTTTTTGCAGCAGTTGTCTTGTATTACTTGCAGAATGTGCCCAATTTTCTTGCATGCATACCAGTACTGTTTGTCACCCATCATATTTGATTTTCTCCTCTCCCTTGTGCAGCGCTGAGGGCAGCCATGTGTCTGGTCAGAGTAATGGTCGGGACCCCCAGGCACTGGCCAAAGCTGTTCAGATTCACCATGACACCCTGAGGACCATGTACTTCGCTTGAGCTACACCAACCATTTCCACCTTAACATACACACACAAACCCAGACATGACCATACATGCCAGGCTTGCCAGTCAGTCCTCAAAAGGGCAGGTCTTGCCTGTCCCACACGCCTACTCAATCTGGACCTGACACTGTGCAGAGGAAAGCAGGGAGGAGGGAGGGGAGGAGGCACCCCCACACTGGACTGAGGATGCAAATGCTGCTTTAAAAAAAAAAAACGAGAGAAACTCAGCACTATTATGCAATATGAAACCAGCCAACTAGTTTATTTTCATCCTTGTCAGGTCCCCGGTTCATTGCCCCTCCATTTTTTTTCTTTCCCTGTTTGTCTCCTTTACTTTTGGCCCTTAGGTGTTGTTCTTGTTTGTTTTTAACTTTTATTTTCCACTAATCTGCTCCTTTGCCATCTACAGTACCTCAAGTCAGTTTGAGCAGCAGCACTTTTACATTCTGTCAGTTTTTCTGTCATTTGTTTTTGATTCTCCCCAGTATATGAATGAAGGAGCAGAAAAGGAAGGGCCAGACTCTGGAGTGGTGTCTGATTTCATTCGGAACATAGTTATTTCTTTGGTCCTCCCAGTTGTCACTTTTTTATTTTTCCTTTTAACTTTTTCCTCTGTCCTGTCACTTTTTTGTAGTGTGTGTGTGAATCACCAGTTGTATGAAGCATCTTGTTCTTTTGAGCACACTGCCACTTGTTGGCGGCGAGGTAAAAATGCCCCCTTATAGTCAGAAGGACTTATCCTGTTAAGGTCTTTGATCAGTTTTGATTTATCTTTAGCAGTCAGCTGTCACATTTAAACAGGAGAGGAATATAGTGGCTGATATATCAAGTGCAGCCATCTATGAATTTAGTTTGAAGTATAACACTGTTATTTGACTCGCTGTTATTTTTCTTCTACATTATGTGAAGCATTTTATGATCCTAACTTTTTAAAAGTCATTTTATCATGTAAGCTTATGTTTTTACTCTTAGTAGTCGTCATACTTGCATTTCCCTCAGTGCTTTATCTCACATTGCTCTCGTGACGTGGTGGTTAAATAGAGATCATGTCGATAGTTTCCTCTAGTGCAATAATCAGTTGAACGAAGGGAAGAGGATTTTAGGGGACTTAAGCAACTATAAAGAACAGTTACACATTTCATTTAAAAGTGAGTTTTGTTGAAAGGAGTAAAGTTTGCCACTTGCAAGGCACTTTCATGTATTCCTCCTCTGTGAGATGATTGAAAAGCATGTTGCCATTGGGCAAAAATGGTGCAATTGCAGTTTTTGGTGATTTTTCATGTTTTTACTTGAAGGATTTTATGCACCTCTGTGGTTTGAGAATACTTTATCATCAATCGACATTTTAGATTTTTGTGATCAAGAGTTTGCTAACGAGGCTGATATTCTTGATTCCTAAGAATGACCCGTTTTGTTGAGCAAAGCTTTTCACCTGACAGCAGCAAAGTAGAGTCTAAAGGCCATAAAGAGGTAGTATCCAAGTGCCTGGTGGAGGTTTAAACATTTGGAGGTTAAAAGCTGTATAACTTAATCTAGGGATCCTGTTTCACTGAGGAAGGAAATCAAAATACTTACTCCAACAGACAGACAGCATAAGATGGTTTGAAGCAAGAAAGTTTCACCCGATGCCTCTTCTCAACAACCATCTACTGACTTTTCTATACATCTCATTCAGATCATCGTAAGATCAATATATTTATTGTGTTTGCCTATACTGCAGTGTTAGCTGTTGGCTTTGCTTTGGAGCGTCATTCAGGCAAAGCAGGCAGAGTTGTCTTTTTGCTTAATATTCACCAGACATGGATCCAGCTGCTACAGTGTATTTTTGTACCTAGTGGGTCAGCTTCATGGGCATGGACTGTTTCTTTCAGTAGATATCTAAGTCCAGGGCTAGGGTTAATTCCTGTCCATGTAACCGGTCCAAAGCTGGCACTGCCTTCAGAACAAGGAGCCAAGTGGGTGACCAACATTTGCAGCAGAGGTACAGCTGACTGTCGATGTGAAATGTCTGTCTGTATTACAGTTGCCACTTAGCTCCTCTGTGCCACTGGTGACCTGAAGCTTGTCCGTGGGGTTGTTTTTAAAAGTTATCTGCACTAAAAGAAGCATGTGTTTCAGGACTGAACACAGGCGTGGTGCTACTCTGTCTGAATTTGAATATGAAGCTGAACCTCTATATGACTCTATGTGAGTAGGTAGGTAGGGCAGAAAATGGTAAACCTCACTCACTGAAGGACAGGAGAAGGTTCCACTGCTGGGATTGATGCGGGGAGCTCTAGATTTAGGATTCCATTCTGTAGATATGGTCAGCATTGAGAACCAGTAAACGGTACAACGGCAGACGTTCTTTTGGACGGTGAAGTGTAGTGCAAGGCCCTGCATCTACTGTTGGATTTATTTGACTGCCTTTCATAGGCTAGCTTTCCAGTGTGGAAACCAATGGCTTTGAGCCTTCATGATTTCAGTTGTGTCTGAAAGCCTTTTTAAAAAGCCAGATTGAAAGTATATTTGTACATTTTAAATTATGTAATGCACACCACTTATTTTTGCTAACAGAAAAGAAGTAGTCTAATTATTAATCTTAGTAATAAATGTATGATGATAAGTAATGGTTAGAAAGATATAACAAAGATTTATTATTGCAATAGACTGAGTTGTTCCTGTGTCACTGTATAACATAGTGTATGTGTGAACAGTGGTGGGGTTGTTGAAGCTAGTGATGTGTGTTTGAACTGTCATACTGTTGTTGATAGGGATGTGGACTTAAACCACCTCTTGCTTTGGTGTTTGGGGGGAGGCTGCAAGTTGTTCAATGCTCTCCTTTCTCTCCTTTTAAAAAAAAAAAAAAAAGATGTTTGTACAGTTGATGGAGGGAAACCCCAGAGAAAACAAAGCAGAACTACGCTGACAGACTTTGTATTATGGTGTTACATCACTGTTAATTCTACCACAAATGGTAGAATAAAAGAAGAGTCCATTGATATATTGAGCTTTTGCTCTTGAATGTCCTTTTGTTTTCTTCAAGTGGTGCTGACGTCTGCTCCTTATCAAGATGGAGAGTGGAAAAGAATGGGCAAGTGGGTTTGGAAGTGTTGTTTATCCATTTCAAGGACACATTTGAATAATATATCAAGAGAGTACTTCTCCATTCCTTTGTGTTAAAGCCTCGGGGGATCCACGTCAGATTGCAACCTTTGTTGCTATTCTTCGACTCCTCTCCTTACCCAAGCCATTTTATGCACTCACAAAGAGTTGGCCTCCTGGTAAATCTGTGGTGTGATAAACTCTGTAATCTTATTGCTGCTCTCTTTCCCCTTGGCTCCTGAACATTTGTTCACCTGTGCCAGAGGACTACATGCCACAACCGTACAATCCCATCCGATCCCCCTGGGAGGCATAAGAAAGATTAAAGCTGAAGGACAATATGGTGGGATACAGTGGCTCCTGTGATTGATTTAAGTATCATGTGCTGTTTGGAAAGAACCAAAGCTGATCAGTCACAGCTTTACCAGTATGTGGCAGGTCATGTTCGGGGTTGAACGAGTTAGAGGTTGAATTAAAATCCATTTGTAACTCATCCTCTGCGGTGTGTAATGGATGTTAAGTTTGTGTATACACTACACTTTTGAGGGCAGAACATGTTTACATAGTAGATGCATTTGCCTCACCTAATCAGCTCTGCTTTGCAAATATTAGCTTGTAGAGAAATGACCATTTGGGGCCCATGGAAGTATATGCTCGATGGGATATGAAGTCATTTATTTGGCCAATTTCTCTTCAACAGATCTGTGTTGCATAGCAGGGGAAACATCTCGTTTGTCCTCCCACTTTTATTAAAATGACTTGTTAGATTGGATTCAAACAAAAGGGTATACTCGGCTCACAGCCTGCAGCTAGTTGTGGCCTTTGGCTCTTGATTAGGATTATTAACAATACAGACAAGTCTTTTTATGAAAGCTGAGGAGCAAACATCTTTCTCACAATGTGGCAAACGTCTGGTGAAGAAAAATAGCCAAATTAACTGTAAAGGTCAGTGTCTCCCTTTTAAACGAAAGTGAAGGTGTATTCCATTTTGAGTGATCGATCAATATCCCTGATTTCGGTTGCTCTCTGTTTTCAGTGGTAGGTAGCAGTGGAGTGAGACAAAGTCCATAGAAAGTGCCTTTCCTCTCGATGGTGCTGTAAATTTGAAAGATGAAAATTTAGTCAAAGAAATAGAATCTCCTTTACCAGAACACATTGCATTGCAGCAATGGCTGCATTTTACACACGCTTACTGTACACATTTGTTTTTTAGAGATGGCAATGCAAACTCGTGTTTCATGTGTTTAGACATTAAGCCTATGTAGAAAAATAATATATGCCAAGTATAGGGTTGTGGTTGAGTTTTTGGTTATAGTGCATTTAGTGTCTTGGACCAATAGTGTCGTCGGTACAGTGGAATGTCGGTTTGGTGGGGTGGTTGGGGCCATAGCCGACACTAGTGTGGTGTGACGCAGCCCGGCCCGTGAATGACAAACATAGCACAGCACTTTAGAGACTGCCACTCTTACTCTGACTCATGGCCAGGAGGTTTCAGCCTCTGTCCCTCCAGTCGCCTTCCTTCTTCCGGTTCAGGGGGAGGAAAGCATCCAAACCTCAGCGTAAATGAGGAGTCAAAGGAATGTGTGTTACCAAACAAAACAGCCGGTCATTTAAAGTGTGCCTCATGCTCCTGTGACTTTTGTTGTTGGCTCGGTTGAGTCAGCTTGCTCTCGGGTGGTGGTTTTCCCTCTGGAACAGCCACTCAATACTTTCTGTTACAGCTAGGGCTGGGTATCAAAACACGATAACTGTACCTCCCAGATTTTTGGCATCAAAACCAAAAAAAAAAAGGCTGCTCAACTGCCTGGATCCTTTTACAAATTGAGAATTGTTGCACTGAGGAATTAAGGTTTTCTTCTTGAAGGGCATTTTTACTAAAGTAAGCAACATAAGTAGGATCAGAATTTGTAAAGGCACAAAAATGCATGAGTAGTTGCAGTGAAGTATGCATTCATTAATGAACAGAACCAGTGTCAGTATTGAAACCTTTCACATGATGCCCAGCCCTAGTAGCAGCCCATGGCATTTTTTTTTTCCATCGTAGTGCAATGCACTCCCATGTGTCTTGTCCCTGATGGAGGGAATGTGTGCCCAGCAGTATCTCTGTCTTTGAGCCAGTAGGGTGCTGACTGAAAACTGAGGAGGGTGGTCTGCAGTTCAGTGGGTACCTTTACAGTCCAGGGGTTGAAATCTTTCGCTTACAAGAGAGCTCAAAAACACTGCACCTCACTTACCTTGGTATGCTGCATATGTTATACTACATGAGAGAAAACTGCAAATTGGTTTTATTATGACATGTAATGCCTGATTGCGATATTCTTATACAGTATATTTTAGCGTCAAAGTATAACTGTAAAAATATTCTGTTTTGTCTTACTTATCTGACTTTGAAAAATTGTTCTTGAGCCGACTTATTTTGTTGTCCTATTTAAATGTGTTGTTCTTTAAATATATGAAATATATATATGCAGAATATTTTATGGCGTATTTATTGAGAGAGTGTGTTTCAGCGGCTGGAGTCTTCGCATCATATTGCAGTGTGGTGGGGGTGGAGCCAGGAGTAGTAGGCCTTTAGCCCCTCCCCCTCCATGTTGATACCTTATTCTCCTAAACACACAAGCACAACAATATGGAGGGGGTGTGAGGGTAGGTGGAGGAAAAGCAGGAGGGAGATTTGACTTGTCAAAAAGCAATGTGTCAAGTTCTGGCTGGTATCTACAGGTCAATGTCCTGCCTCCTTTTGTTATTTTTACCCTCCACTCTTCTTACCACCTGAGAAGACCAAAAGCCAACCCTCACAGGTTGTAGCTCATCTCTGATGAAGGGAACCATTTCAGAACCACATTGACTCGAGTGTTGAATAGCTGACCTTTTTTTTTATTTTTATTTTTTTATATAAATCCCAAGCTGCTAATTGGTACATTAGCAATGTAAATTTCCCATGCCAGTAAAAGGCAGATGGGAGACAGTAACAGTAGAGTAATTTAAAAAAAAAAAAAAAACCTGCTGGGGCAAGGAAAGAAAGATGTTGGAAAGGCAGAGTTCTTTAGGCTTCTGGTGAAGCCAAAACATTTTACCACAGGAACAGGTCTAATTCCACAAGAAAAGACATGCCTCAGCCTTAAGTGTGTTGTTACATGATTTGTCAGATTTCTGTGACTCTGCGATGCCTGTGTTGGGTGACTTACCTAGAATACAAGCGTGCTTGATCTGCCCTGGTTTCCCAACAGGCACATTCATCTCTTATTTCGCATATAAACCACAAACATTGCTACGCCAACTTCTGATGTTCAAACAAGCTTTCAAAAATTGCTTTGTCCATTTGTACTGATGTCAGAACAGAACCAGGTGTGGGTCAAATGGCAATTGGCAACACTTCTTGGCAACTGTTTACTTAGATGAGCAGTGCTTTACTGCCTCCAGACAATTCAGATATCTGGAAACCCATGAAAACATGCTAATTTGACTTTTATACACATCCATGTGTTTGTGTAACATTGCTGGTTATCACTGTGTTGTCATGCATAGCAAATCCAAAGAACAGTACTGTCAAATACAGTTTGATCCAGGCTTGACCAGAACCAGGAGGTTCCCCAGAGTGCTGGATTACAGAGACCTGTGGTTATATAACAAACCAAGGATCTTTTTTTTTTTTTTTTTTTTTTTTTTTGTGTATTTGCCTTTTTTTTTTGATCCAGGCTTGACCAGAACCAGGAGGTTCCCCAGAGTGCTGGATTACAGAGACCTGTGGTTATATAACAAACCAAGGATCTTTTTTTTTTTTTTTTTGTGATTAATTGCCGTTCTTTTCTTTTTTTTTTTTTCATGTCTTTGTCCCTCACCCCATCAGAGGATCGGAGACATGGAGCTTTGAAGTGTTGTCAATCCTGTTCCAAAGCAAATAGGCCCTTTGCCCACTAAACCACGATTTTTGATTTAGTAAACATCTACTCCTCTGTCTACTCGTGTTTAACTTGTGTTTATTACATTAGCCATTCCACTAATAACTTTGATCCAAAAGTTGCAGAAGAGATAATGCTCCTGATGCAGATTTCTCCTTGTAATGATTTTGAAGACAGCTAATTGACAGTGGCCAAGGGTTTAACATTTTGCTGATTGTCCAGATTCTTTTCAATGTAGCATCACTCTTTTGTCAGTCTTATTTCAAACTAAATATCTTGGGGCTCATACTTCTGAGTGAAGCCCCAGCAAATGGATGTACACATCGAGAAGTGAACCTTCACCACCAGATGATCAATGTCTCCGTCTCTGTATGTTGCAAAGGCTCTGTTCGATTCCAGCTCGATTCCTTTGTTTTTATTGTATTTTCTTTTGTAACTTTCTCTTGCAAGTTGTTGGCCTTTTAGTGTTGCTTTGCTTTAGTTTGAAGTGTACCTTTGACTAATACTTGCAATAAAATGCTTTGCTCTACCTTGGCTGTTTTGGTGAGATGATGGTGACAATGCAGAAAATGTCTCAAGTAACCATATTTTGGAACAACTGCAGCAGAACCGTGCACGCCATTCACAATTACAACAGTCTGTCACAGGGCTGGCATGTAGGCAAGCACACACACACACCTACCTACCTACGGGCAATTTAGAGTCACCTATCAACCTAAGCTGTATGTCTTTGGACTGTGGATGGAAGCCAGAGTACTCAGAGATCCCACGTAGCTAAAGGGAGAACATGCAGACTCCACACAGAAAGGCCGCGGTCAACCCAGGCTCTAACCCGGAACCTTCTTGCTGTGAGGTGACAGCACTAGCTACCCAGCAGTATGTAAAGGACTCCACATTATATACAAGTGCAGGGTGCGTGAAAAGTAACTAGGCATTAAAAACTGGCTATAGAACTTGTAGTATCACTGGAGTCATAATGAAAACAGTCTGTAAATAGACAATAGTAAATAGGATTTCATATGAATCAAATTCAATCATTCAAATATCAAATTCATATGAAATGAAATCGCATTTCATATGAAATTTATTTAGAGACTGTTTTCATCATGACTCCAGTGATACAAGTTCTATAGCCAATTTTTAATTCTTAGTTGCTTTTCACCCACCCTGTATATAAGGCAGTCAATATTAACATTATACACAACAATGCACCAGTAATATGATACTGTACATTCATGTGAAATGTGCCATTCTGCATAATGAGTACCTTAACTTCTGGTACTTGAAGTATATTTTGGTACTAATATTACTGTGCTTTTATATAACACTTCAAATGCAGGGCTTTTTTAAAAACTTGTAATAGAGTATTTTACACGTTGGTATTGCTACTTAAGTAAACAAGCTGAGTGCTTCTTCCACCACTAAGGCACTTTCATCAGAATGCCACTGTTATTTGTTAAACCTCAAGCAACAGCAAAAGGCAAACGCATATGACAGTTTTAAAAATTATTGTGACAACATCAGCTGAGTGTAGTGCCCAGGAATCAGCTCAAGTAAGCTACCTGTTGCCAGATTTGAGAATGGAGATGCA